CCAGGGAACAGGCCCAGAGAGCCGAGAGAACAAGGACCCACGGCGAGGGCCCTTACTGGGTGTCAGGATGAAGTACACAGGTGAAAGGTGCAGGCAGCCTGCGTCAGGGCCGTGCTCGCCACACTGGTGCATCGGCTCACCTGGCTGGGGACACGGATGCGACAGGAAAATCAGTGTAATAGAGTGATGCTGTGGTATCTCGTCATTAACAGTCCTCATGTTGGGTGGGCAGTGCTTCCCTCCTAGACTGTGGGACAGCTTGATGCAGCCACAGAAGGTAAACTTTGATGAAGACACCTAGGAAGAAGCTTTGGTGAAGTTTTATCATTTGGTTCATATCAGGCACTCCACTTTGTGGGAGAAAACCAAAAGCACAGGTCAGCTACCTCTGGATTTAAGGAAACCTGCCGGAATATTCAGCTGTGTTATTAAATGCCTTCACTGCTTCTCTACCTCTCTCTGTAACTCTGACTTTCAAATAAATAAATCTTTAACAAAAGAATGAAAACAAGTGATATACTCAAGCAAATGGGGCTTGGGGGGCTTTCTGTTTATATGGTAGTAGACAAAAAAATAGACCCAAGACCTTTTAGGTCTCTAACAATACCTTGATGGAGTTGTGAGGTGTGTTAGAAGATGTGCCCATGAAGATGATGGCCCAGCGGTTGTTGGAGGTTGTAACAGTTGGTCAGTAAACTGTATGTAAGAAGCGGGGTATTCGTGTGTAATCAAGCCGGAAGAGTGACCGGAGAAGTCACCAGGGAGTGGAGAATTCTCTTTGCAGGGCCGAGGGCTTTGCTGAGAGGCACACGTCTCCTAGGGAAGCGGTCATTCCTACCACGTTTCAGAACGGCAGAGATGGTAGTAATCTCTACTAGATTTTCTTTAGGTATTGGCGTGTAGGCTGTACATTTTGACACAGAGCAAGGAATAGAACAGGAACATGGGAATAGGCAGACAGAGTGCTCCGAAACAGAACCGTTAGTGTCGAAGGAAAGGAAAGCAAAATTACCTCGTGTCCACGGGCATCACTGGGTAGTTTGGTGTCTTGGGTAAAGTTGTCCCTGGCACAGGAGGTGAACTCATCTACAATGCCAAAATCTTTTAAGATTTATTTTATTTATTTGAAAGTCAGAGTTACACAGAGAGAGGAGAGGCGCGGTGGAGGCGGGGGGGGGGTCTTCCATCCGCTGGTTCACTCCCCATTTGGCCGCAACGGCCAGAGCTGGGCTGATCCAAAGCCAGGAGCCTGAAGCTTGTTTCCAGGTCTCCCACATGGATGCAGGGCCCCAAGGACTTGGGCCATCTTCTACTGCTTTCCCAGGCCATAGCAGAGAGCTGGATCGGAAGAGGAGCAGCCGGGTCTTGAACCGGCACCCATATGGGATGCTGCACTGCAGGCCAGGGCGTTAACCCTCTGTGCCACAGCGCTGGCCCCACCAACATCTTAAGCTGGGGAGATGCTGCCTGCAGTGATGGCTTCTCCAGATGTGAGCCTCTGTACATAGCTACAACCTTGTCCACAAGGATCGTGTGTGGCAGAACTGTTGAGGCTCCCCACGGGTCACCCAGAACACGTCAGCTTTGGAAGTGAAGGTAAAAGAGGTCAAGAGACTGTTGGAATAGGCATGAACAGAACATGTTAGCCAAATGTACACAAGCAAACGATGCGCCAGCAGTTGATTGAATAGCATCAGTAATTTTGATAATATTAGCTACTGACAGGAACACAGCATTAAGGTTGTAGTAATCCTGCACATGAGGTGCCTCCCACTACCTTCTCCCCCCAACCCCCACATTTAAGAACAGGCAAGGTCAGGATGTCAAATGGGGAAATGGTGGGGACAGTCACCCCTTTATTAGTTTGGTTTCCTATGAGCTTTTGAAGACCCTGTTGTAACCTGTATTGGGCCATGTTGACTATTTTAATTAGGGGCCCATGAGGTCTTATTTTATCAAGTCTGCTTCTAAGTGTTGAAGAGTTTACCTTCTGATTTATTGTGTTCCAGGATCTGTGCTCCAACAAGGGGTGTCCTGTGGTAGTGGGCACGGCTATGATTATAGAAATTTAGGCAAGTCTACTTTTTTTAAAAAAAGATTTATTTTATTTGTTTGAAAGAGTTACAGAGAGAAGTAGAGACAGAGAGGTCTTCCATCCGCTGGTTCACTCCCCACATGGCCTCAACGGCCAGAGCTGCACTGAGCCGAAGCCAGGAGCTTCTTCCAGGTCTCCCACGTGGGTGCAGGGGCCCAAGCAGTTGGGCCATCTTCTACTGCTTTCCCAGGCCATAGCAGAGAGCTGGATCGGAAGTGGAACAGCTGGGACTAGAACTGGCACCCACATGGGATGCTGGCGCTTCAGGCCAGGGCTTTAATCCACTGCACCACAGCGCCGGCCCTGCAAGTCTACGTTTAAAATGAAACTTGTCTAATTTTTCCTCTACTTTCTGTGTACTCACTTTGTAAGATTATAGGAGGCATACTGTTTAAACTTAATGGAATCCATGGCTGTAACTATAATTTTGAACCCCAATATAGATTAAGTGCAAAGTTTCCTTTTGATACATTTTAGCAGGTGTTTTTAACATTTTAACATCTTGAAAGGCACAAAAGCCAATCATTGCTCTTTTTATTTTTACTCTATAAATTCTAATATAACTTAGTACTTAAGTTTTGGCTTTACAATTGAACCAAATTATGGAACTTTGTTATAATTTATATATTTAATTTATATAAATTAGTATATACTTACATACAGTATTCAATAGCTATATGTAATTTAGCTGAATACCTGTTGTTTTCTCCCAGTGTATGTGGGGGTTCATTTTTGCTTGTTTATTTTTAAATCTTTAGTTGTCTGAGAGACAGAGAAGAGTGCACACTCAGCTGCTGATTCATCTCCCAACAGCCAGGGCTGGGCTAGGCCAAGACTGGGAGCTGGGTGGCAGGAGCCCAACCGCTGGCGCCATCATCGGTGCCTCTCATGGTCTGCAGTATCAGGAGTTCCTCAAGGGCCAGACGCAGAATCAAACACAAGCACCAACTGCAGCGTGGGGTGCAGGTGCCCTGCCTGGCATCCTTCCCGCGAGGCCAGATGCCCGCCCCCTGGGTTTGCTTGAAAGGGTTAAACAATCTAGAATGAGCGTATGTTTGCTGGGCCTGGCGTTTGTTCAGCACACAGGTTTAAATGTCCTTTTCTTACCTCTCCTCCTGAGGCCAGTTCACAGGCACCTAAAGCAACAATGTTGTTGTTTTTTCCTTTTTGTTGGTTTTTTTAGGCTTTTAGCTGCCTGGAACCTCAGCCTTTAGTTTCCGTCCTTGAAGTGCCTACCTAAAATCTCAAGGCTGCCCAAAGCACTTAATGTTTCCTTTAAGGTTATTTTTCAAATTCTCACAACCAGAATGCAGACATTGAGAAGTGGGCGAGTGTAGTCTCAGCAGGCTGAGTTCGAATCCAGAGCTGCGTTAATATGTAGCCCTTGTGACAGGCCCACAGGGAGACTGGGGAGGCTCACTGGTGCGGCGGTAACCATCCTGTATTTATTTTTTCCACGTGCGTCTTTCTCGTCACACTGCTTACTTTCTGCACCTCTCAAGTCTCGTGGCCTTGTTATTGTGTCTTTTGTCAATGACTTTTACAGGGAAGGCTTTATGCTCTAATGCAGTCTACTTAAAGCAGTGCCTGCCGAGCACAAAGGTAGGCTCCCAGAAAATGCTATGTGATAAGTGCCTTGGGTCTTCCTAGATCTTCAGCAACAGGCTCTAATGCACCTGACTGGTCCAACACTAATGAACACACTTTCCAAGCACCAGTGACCTTCAAAGTCATGGTTGTAACCTTTTTTTTTTTTTAAAGAATTATTTATTTTTGTTTATTTATTTGAAGGGCAAGCAAACAGACGGGGAGAGACAGAAAGAGATCTTTCATCTGCTGGTTCACTCGCCTAAATGGCCCCAAGAGCCAAGGTTAAGCCAGGCCGAAGCCAGGAATTCCAACCAGGTCTCCCACAAGGGTGGCAGGGCCCAAATACTTGAGTATTAGCAGAGAGCCGACTTGGAAGCGGAACAGACTCACACCAGCAGTCTGGTGTTGCATGCAGCAGCTTAAGCCGCGTGCCCCAGCGCTGGCCCCAGGGAAAGCGAGAGCCGCTGTACCTCGCCAGGGGACCCGGTACTAGAGGTGACGCTGAGGACTCAGGGAGTCTGGGCTCACTGAGCAGAGCCCCACCTCTCCACCAGGCGAGGTGCCTTGTGTCAGTTCGAGTCCCGGCTGCTCCACTTCCGATCCAGCTCTCTGCTGTGGCCTGGGAAAGCAGTGGAAGATGGCCCAAGTGCTTGGGCCCCTGCACCCACGTGGGAGACCTGGAAACAAGCTTCAGGCTCCTGGCTTTGGATTGGCCCAGCTCCAGCCATTGTGGCCATTTAAGGAGTGAACCAGCGGGTGGGACGATCTCTCTCTCTGCCTCTGCAACTCTGCCTTTCAAATAAATAAATCTTTACAAAAAAAATTAATAAACCACATGCTGGGCGTGAAAACCCAGAGTCATACGCTAATGGAACCAAGAGGTTAGCGACAACCCAGGATGGTGTTCAGGATGTGGACCTCGCGGGAGGCCCGTAGGTCTCTGGGGACGCGCCTGCAGCAGGTGGTTCTCCCCAGGGCTCCCTGCGTCAGCACTTTCTCTACTGCCGGCGTGCCTGTGATCTGTCCCCCCCACGCTCTACCACTGCCGGTGCAGCTGCACCATCCTGGATGTGCGCCTCCGAACTGAGCTGAATGAGCCTTATCCTCTGGACAGTGTGTTGCCATGGGTACTTCGTTATAGTAACAAAAAGCTAATCTAGTGCTCATCACATAATTAGCACTCACCCAGTAAGATTCAGTTAAAAACCACACCCACAGTCAACACTACTCTAATCTCCCACTAAAGGCTATAGTATGCCTAAAACAAATTCTTCAAGAAGTAGTAACACTTTTTTCAAAAGTCACAGAGAGTTCATTATATACAAAATAATTTTTATTAGAGACCAAAAATTTTATTAATACTATTTTTACTTCTTTGACAGCTTTAATTTTCAACAGTGTACAATTTACTGGAACCACTAGATGGCTAGATATTTGCACATAACAATTGGTTAAAAATAATTTGTAGGGCCCGGCACTGTGGCGTAGCAGGTAAAGCTGCTGTCTGCAGTGCCGGCATCCCATGTGGGCACTGGTTGGAGTCCCAGCTGCTCCACTTCCGGTCCAGCTCTCTGCTGTGACCTGAGAAATCAGTAGAAGATGGCCCAAGTCCTTGGGGCCCTGCATCCACGTGGGAGACCCGGAGGAAGCTCCTGGCTCCTGGCTTCAGATCAGCCCAGCTCCGGCTGTTGCAGCCATTTGAGGAGCAAACCAGCAGATAGAAGACCTCTCTCTCTCCTCTGCCTCTTCTCTCTCTGTGTAACTTTTACTTGCAAATAAATAAATAAATCTTTAAAAAATTTTTTTCTATAGAGCATAGAGCAAAACTATGTTACTGCTCTGAGAAATGTATATTTATTTATAATAAACTTGCTTGCTCTCCTGTAGGATTCTGTTTACAGTGCTGCTGCCAAACAAGATTTAGACATAATGCCTAACCCTGCAGGTTGCCTTACCGTTAATCTGATGTCTAGCAAGATAGCTTAGTGGACACCTGGCAACATGTCTCACACTGCGGGAGCTCTTTAATGTACAATGAGGAATGCGCTTAAACTAAAGGACTTGGACTTCTAGTTTTCTGCATTCATAGAGCTTCTCTCCGGCAGAAGTTTGGCTTTTGCTGACTTAGGATCTACGGCTGAGGTTTATTTGATTCCTGCTTTCACTCGCACCTGGTCTCTCACATGCATAGTCATTCAAATGGTCCGACGACTTTCCCACACTCACTGGCTTTATCGCAGTTATGGATTCTTTGATGGGCGGTGAGATTGGAGCCTTTGCTGAAAGCTTTTCCGCATTCACTACACTGATATGGTTTCTCTCCAGTGTGAGTTCTCTGATGCACAGTAAGGTTGGAGCTACAGCTGAAGGCCTTCCCACACTTAATACATTCGTAAGGTTTCTCTCCAGTGTGGATTCTGTGATGCTGAAGAAGGGACGATCTGTGACTGAAGGCCTTCCCGCAAACACTGCATTCGTAAGGTGTCAGTCTGATGTGATTTCTCAAATGCATATCCAGTGATCCGGGCTGGCTGAAGGACTTCCTGCATTTCTGACACTCAAAGGGTCTTTCGTCCGTGTGCAGACTCTGATGCTGAATGAGAAGCGGGAGGCTACTGAAGGTCTGCAGACACTGGTTGCATTCACATTGCTTCTCGATGGTATGAATCCTCTGATGTCGAGTAAGGTGGGAGCTACAGCAAAAGGCTTTCCCACAGTCGCTGCATTCATACGGTTTCTCTCCAGTATGGATTTTTTGGTGGTGAATGAGAGATGACCTATGAATGAAGGCCTTCCCACACACTGGACACTCATAGAGTTTTTCTTGAGTGTGAATCCTCAGGTGTTCAATGAGATGTGAGACACGACTGAAAGACTTCCCGCAGCGCGTACATTCATACGGCTTCTCTCCAGTGTGAGTGCTCTGATGATTCGTAAGCGATGAGACGTGACTGAAGGCCTTCCCACATTCAGCGCATCTGTAAGGTTTCTCTCCGCTGTGGCTTATCTGATGTCGAGTAAGGGATGAGCCGTGGCTAAAAGTCTTCCCACATTTGTGACACTCATAGGGTTTCTCCCCTGTATGAATTCTCCAGTGGCGATTCAGGACTGACCGTTTGCCAAAGGCTTTCCCACATTCTCTACATGCATAGCCTTTCTCTCGATTACACAAAGTCTGGCGAAGGCTAAGCGATGTGCCCCGGTTGAAGGCCGCTGCAGCTTCATTAGAGTTCAGAAGCTTCCTCCCGCCACTGGCGCCCTCATTCCTGACAACGGACGTTCTTGGTGGGCTTGTCTTCAGCGTGTCACAGGCTCGGAACTTTGCTTCAGGAGAAAGTCTGTGCTGTTCAGAACGGGTGGGCTTTAAGTGGAAGGTGCTTCTAAACGCATTGCACTTGTTAAAAGCTTCCCCGGTGGGGCTCTCTCTACAGGGGAGAGGCACTGGTCTGAAATGTGTTCCCCGGCTCCTGGGCCTCCCCTCCTCCGTATCTCTGCACTCCTGGTCCTTACTGGCACTTGAAAATTCACAACTCGGTTTTACAGTTTTTTCTGTTCTTTCTATTTCTGTTTGGGGTGACTCCTCATTATAAAAATCCCCTTTTGTTGATAATTCCTTGCTTTCCCATCTTGGTTCCCAATCTGAAATATATAAAGAAAGTAAAGTGGTGCTTTTTCTCTACTTCTTTTTTTTTCTTTTTTTTTCTCCCTCCCTCCCTCCTTCTTTCTTTCTTTCTCTCTTTCTCTCTTTCTTTCTTTCACAGGCAGAGTGGACAGTGAGAGAGAGAGACAGAGAGAAAGGTCTTCCTTTGCCGTTGGTTCACCCTCCAATGGCCGCCGCGGCCAGAGCGCTGCAGCCGCCGCATTGTGCTGATCCGATGGCAGGAGCCAGGCACTTATCCTGGTCTCCCATGGGGTGCAGGGCCCAAGCACTTGGGCCATCCTCCACTGCACTCCCTGGCCACAGCAGAGAGCTGGCCTGGAAGAGGGGCAACCGGGACAGAATCTGGTGCCCCGACCGGGACTAGAACCCGGTGTGCCGGCACCGCAAGGCGGAGGATTAGCCTAGTGAGCCGCGGCACCGGCCACTCTACTTCTTAAAAAGAAATTTCTAGGATGGAAACAGGAGAAATAAAACCCCTGGAAAACACATGATTCTGACAAGTCCCACATTTCAGCTATTTCTGAGCAAAGCTCACAGGGAACGCAGACAGCTCACAGAGGCAAAAAGAGTGTCATTAGGGAAATGGGTAAATACAGGCAATCAGTTAAAATAAAAACGCAAGCAGGGCTGGTGCTGTGGCATAGCGGGTAAGTATGCTACCTACAGTGCCAGCATCCCACATGGGTGCCGGTTCGCATCCCGGCTGCTCCATTTCCTATCCAGCTCTCTGCTGTGGCCTGGGAAAGCAGTGGAAGATGGCCCAAGTCCTTGGGTCCTTGCACCTGCATGGGAGACCTGGAGGAAGCTCCTGGCTCCTGGCTTCAGATTGGCACAGCTCCAGCCGTTGCAGCCATCTGGGGAATGAATCAGTGAATGGAAGACCTTTTTCTCTCTCTCTGTGTAACTCTGACTTTCAAATAAATAAATAGGGGCTGGCACTGTGGAGCAGAGGGTTAAAGCCCTGGCCTGAAGCGCTGGCATCCCATATGGACACCAGTTCTAGTCCCGGCTACTCCTCTTCCAATCCAGCTCTCTGCTATGGCCTAGGAAAGCAGTAGAAGATGGCCCAAGTCCTTGGGCCCCTGCACTTCCCGTGGGAGACCTGGAAGAAGCTCCTGGCTCCTGGCTTCGGATCGGCGCAGTTCCAGCCATTGCAGCCATCTGGGGAGTGAACCAGCAGATGGAAGACCTCTCTCTATCTCTACTCTACTCTGTCTTTCAAATAAATTAAATAAATCTTAAAATAAATAAATCTTTTTAAAAAATGCAAACTATCAGAAAGAAAATATGGAGGTCATTCTGGGTTCCAAGCCATCATTTTATACTATATTATGTGAACAATGACATTTTATCTCATAGTCTTCTTCTCCAACCTTCAATTAATCTGTTTGCTGCCAGATTAATGATTAAAATACACAGTTTATACTACTACATTAAACCATTACAATGACAACAGAATAACCTAAGTACTACCTATGGGTCACAAAGGTTCAGGCTTTCTGAGTTGTTGTTTCTTGTGCTGCTTTGTTTCAAATAAAGAGCATTTTTAATTATTATGATGGCAAAAAATTATGATGACAAAAATCTCAGTTTTGATTAGATGACATAAGCAATACAGGTAACAGTTTGGAAAAGAGGAACGATCATTTTGAAATTTACCTCTGGAATCCCTAAAGACAGCTCTCCTAAAATGCATCCACTCCCACTGCCAGCATCTTTCACAGAGACATTCCTTCGCCTAACTCACAGCATTAGTCGGAAACATACCTTTCGGTAGGTTTTTCTCCACCATCCAGGGCTCTTTTCCATTCTCCAGTAAAGTGACCACACATGGCTTAGCCACGGAGAGGCCTGTGTGTAGGAAGACAGAACTCGCTCAAACTGCAGCCACAGAGGTCAGAGGTCACCACAAAAGGCAGCAAAGGGAGGCGTGTTCACTAAGATGGGACGACACGCTTAGGGCCCGGCACAGAAGGGCTAAACAGCTCCTTGGGAACGTGGTATTCAGCCATTTACCATCTCCACGGCCCCTGGAGAAGGAGAAGTGGAAGGAGAGATATCCTCACCTAGAGAGACGAGGTTCTCGTAATTCTGGACCGTCACCTCCCTGTATAAGTCTCTCTGTGCAGAACTGAGCCATCCCCACTCTTCAGGAGAGAAGTCTACAGCCACATCACTGAATGTCACCTGAAACAGCAAGGACGTTTAGCTCGGCCACCGCCCAGGCCTCACTGTACTGCCCCAAGGTCCCCTGTCGAGTAAAGGGACCAGGTTCAGGCAGTGATCTAGAATCTGGTCTCAGTTACGTAGTAACTGCATAATCACAGGCTTGCTGTACAACCAGGGTAAGACAAGTCTCAGAGGGCTGAAGGCCAGAGCCAGGAATTCCATCGAGTCTCCCGTGTGGGTGGCAGGAACCCAAGTACCTGAGCCGTCATCTGCTACCTCCCAAGATGCACATTAGCAGGAGGCTGGAACGGAGGGCTGAGCCAGGACCCGAATCCAGGCATCCCAAGTGGGATCAAAAGCCCGCAGCAGGGGCCGGCGCCGTGGCTCACTTGGCTAATCCTCTGCCTGCGGCGCCAGCACCCCGGGTTCTAGTCCCGGTTGCTCCTCTTCCAGTCCAGCTCTCTTTTGTGGTCCAGGAAGGCAGTGGAGGATGGCCCAGGTCCTTGGGCCCTGCACCCCATGGGAGACCAGGAGAAGCACCTGGCTCCTGGCCTCAGATCGGCGCAGCGCCAGCGGTAGCGGCCATTTGGGGAGTGAACCAACAGAAGGAAGACCTTTCTCTCTGTTTCTCTCTCTGTCTATAACTCTACCTGCCAAATAAATAAATAAATAAAGCCCGCAGCAAAAGCCTGCCCCTTCTGCCACTGCCATTTTGGTACATGTTGCTATTGACTAGTGACAGAGGTCTTTGGCTTCAAACGGGGTGATTTGCGTTTGTCAGGAGTTGGGGAAATACTGAAACATCAAATGCCCTGCCGCTGCAGAAAGCCCTCTCCACAGACGCAGAGCAGAAAGTAAACAGCCGCACCCCTGAACAAGCACGAACACAGGGGCGAGCCACTGAGGAGTCGGCAAGCAGACGCGAGCTCCGTCCACAGAGCCAAGCAGACGGAGCACGTTGTCCAGGTAACTTGTCCTCAGGTGAGAGGCTTCACAGCACAGTCTGCTACTTACACTTCCTTGTAACTGGAATGGCCACCATGCTAGTCAGTCACCTTTATTTCTCAAAGGAAAAATAAGATTTATAGTCCCTTTATGTTAAGCAGGTGGTTTCAACTTGGGAACCAGGAGTCTAGGTTAAACACTCTCTCTCTCTCTCTCTCTCTCTCTCTCTCTCTCACACACACACACACACACTGGTGGGGGGAGTACTGTCTTCCTCAATGTTTGCATTTCAAAACATTGGTCCCAAGGGCCTTAAGAACAGCTTGACAAACCAGTAAAACTGGCAAGAGACCTATGCAGCTTTTAGAAAGATGTGCACATGCCTCAGAGGGGCAGTTCTATCATTAGTCCTTCTCAAAGAAATGCGCTGAGAAAACAGGGGTGTCTCCACCTTTTAGTAGGGAAGAAAATTCCTTTTTACTTTTGGCTCATATGTACACTCTCCCAGGTATTAGGGTTGTTCCAGCCTTATCATATCTTTTCCTACTTTCCATAATGGTTTTTAAATGATTAGCTTCTACAAATGTCATCTCATAAACCAAATTAAAAACTCAACACTATGTCAAATGCATAAAAGTTTCATTCCACAAACGCAAAGCTACTTCACACTGTTCAGAACATATACTAACGTCACTGTATTAACAGCTTGCAGAAGGAAATCCACACCCCCTCATGAGATACCCTCTGCTCTCTGTGTAGAGCTGGGTTCCTCTACCTTGACACCTCTGACATCCGGGGCTGCATAATTCCTGGCTGGTAGGAGCTGTCCTGTGCATTAGCCGCATCCCTGGTTTCTACCCCCATCCCACCGCCATCCTGGTTATGGCAACCAAAAAACCCAGAAATGCCTCTCGACATGACCAAGTGGCCCTTATAGTGGAGCCAAAGGGGAAGAAAATCACCCGTATTTGAGAACCAACCACCCCTTTAGGAAATTTGAGCAGATCCTTAAGAGATCCTTGTGGCCGGCGCCACGGCTCACTAGGCTAATCCTCCGCCTTGCGGCGCCAGCACAACGGGTTCTAGTCCCGGTCGGGGCGCCGGATTCTGTCCCGGTTGCCCCTCTTCCAGGCCAGCTCTCTGCTGTGGCCCGGGAGTGCAGTGGAGGATGGCCCAAGTGCTTGGGCCCTGCACCCCATGGGAGACCAGGATAAGTACCTGGCTCCTGCCATCGGATTGGCGCGGTGCGCTGGTTGCAGCACGCCGGCCGCGGTGGCCATTGGAGGGTGAACCAACGGCAAAGGAAGACCTTTCTCTCTGTCTCTCTCTCTCACTGTCCACTCCTGCCTGTCAAAAAAATAAAAATAAAAAGAGATCCTCGTGGGCCTACCCACTACACTCAAGGTGTCTTCTCAGGTCGTGTGAGTGTGTTCTTGCCTCTGCCTCCCTGGTGCCGTGGGCCACCAAACCCAGCTCCTGCCTATTCCCTGGGGACGCGGCCACCTGCATCCCCCTCCGTGGCGTGGGCAGCCTTAGGTGGTCTCCTCAGGTGTTCATTCATCTTTGTTCCCAGAAGAACTTGGGAAATCTGTCCTAGCACTTCCCTTCAGATCTTACGCTCTCTTACTTTTCTGCCAGTTCTGACTGCTCCACGCAGCAGCCACTCCTCAATCTACCTACAAAACTTAAATCATTAAAATGTTTCAAAGTATATAAAATTTAATATTCAGTTCCTTGGCTGCTAACAGCCACAGCCCAAGTCACGTGGGGCTGCTGGCTACTACCCAGGATAGCACACACACGGAGCATAGAAAGTTCGCACAAGACCATCAAGTCCTGCATGTCAGCATACACCCAACCCAAACTCGATTTTCCTAACAGATACTTCATAAGAGTTTAGGCAATGAATCAACAAATGATTTTGCTTTTACTTTTTAAAACAAGATTTTTTCCATTCTAATTATCTAATTTTCTCAAGAAAACAGACTGCCCAACATGCACGTCCGTGACTCATGCCCTCTCCGGTGTAGGTTTTACCTGCCACCCCATGACTCTGTTCCACTGTTTTGGTCACCAATTTTACTCGCACAACATCTGTTTTGTGCCAAGTATCCCTCCAGGCACTGAAAACAGAACCATCAACAAGCTCCCAGCAGGAGACAAACAATGAGCGCATGCACACACTGAACCTATTAGCCAGTCAGTGACAGGTGTTGTGAAATGCAACCATGCAGCAGGTGAGGGAGGGTGACTTCAAGTTCAAATACACTTCTGCGAAGCACAACTTATAAAGTAACCACTGAGCAAAGACACAAAGGGAATAGTGAGGTCTGTGCATGTCTGGGCGAATAATATTCCAAGCAGATAGTACGGGCACAGCAGCTTCCAAGACCTGGAGGCCATGGCTGGAACGGAAAAGGAAGGTGAGGGGCCAGCACTTTGGCGTAGCGGGTGAAGCCGCCGCCTGCAGTGCCGGCATCCCCTATGGGTCCTGGTTCAAGTCCCGGCTGCTCCACTCCCGATCCAGCTCTCTGCTGTGGTCTGGAAAGCAGTAGAAGATGGCCCAGGTCCTTGGGCCCCTGCACCCGCGTGGGAGACCCGGAAGAAGCTCCTGGCTCCTGGCTTCGGATTGGCCCAGCTCTGGCTCTTGTGGCCAAATGGTGAGTGAACTTGTGGATGGAAGACCTCTCTCTCTGTCTCTCTCTCTGCCTCTCCTTTTCTCTCTGTGTAACTCTGACTTTCAAAATAAATAAATCTTTAAAGAGAAAGAAAAGGAAGGTGGGATTAGAGAGGCAACAGCCTAATTATACAAAGTTTTATAATCACTGAGAAACTCTGACTTCTATTCTGAGAAAAGGCCGCTGAAATGTTTCAGCCGAGGAACGACAGCATTCCACGTATCCACGGGACCACCGTACCAGCTGTCCCGAGGACAGAGCGGGCGCGGGCAGAGCAGGAGAGCCACCCAGGAGGCTCCTGCCATGAGGCAGGGAGCTGGGGCCAGGGCAGCAGCAGTGAAGGCAGTGACGGAGACCAGTGGGCAGGTCCTAAGTATTTCCAAAGACAGTACCTGAGCGGGCCTTCCAAGTAAAAAGGAGGAATCAAGGACAATTCCAGGCATCCCGTGTGCAACCGAAAAGCCTGCCCCATCAGCCACTGACCACGTGATACAGCTTCGGCAACCGTAAATAACCTCAAATTCTAAGTTTGCATTCTGAATTGTAATAAAAGAAATTCCTTTGGGCACAAGACTCTACAGCAAGTCTTCCAGCAGAAAGCTAGGGCACTAGGACAGTACCGTGGCGCTCTCTGGCAGGTGCCACCCTCTCTTACAACCAAGGGAGCCGGAGATCCGGTCCGTCAATGGCCGCCGCGGAGTGAGGACTGGCCGAGGAGGCAAAGCAAACACCCAAGATCCGGGGAAGCAAGTGTCCCACGGTGTGGGGGCATACCGACTCACCTGAAACATCACTTTGCAATTTCCAAAAATGCAAGCAATCCAAGCTCTTATCTTACCAATGGGCAGTGTTCTGAGAAGACAGAATAAAGGAAAAAAAACAGTGATCAAAAGTCGGGCTTATCTTGCAGCTCTGTGCCAGCACTGGGGCGCCAGTCCCCTCCCCGGGAACTCGCGGGTGTGCCCTGGCACAGGTCGTGGGTCGCCCCCTGCGGGGACAGCAAACCCTCCACACACCAGGGGCACACGCGCAGGACACAGCTGCAACGTCAGACACCACCCCCCACGGAATCCCAACTTCCTTCTTAAACGGCGACAAGGCTGCACCCCTCATCTGTTGGGGGTCACGAGTGGGCGACATCAGATCTACCGTCTGTGGCGTCCGCCGTGGGCGCGTGCTGTGCGTGCTCTCTCGCCCCGTCCCGCGCACGGCGGCTCTGAGGGGTGAGCGCCCCACAGCAGCCCCGGAGAGGCGACGGTCCTGCCCGAGGTCCCCCGCGATGCCGCCCGCCGCCGGCCTCCCGTGACCCGCAGCTGCGGGACTCCCGGGAGGGACCCCGCCGGCACCTCCGTGTCTCACTCGTGAGTGGACGCCGGCCCCGGGAACCACACCGCCCGGTGTCCTACCGGGTCCCAGGAGCCGGCGCCGAGCAGCCGACGACCGCGGGGCTAGCCAGGAGCGGCGCCCACGGCCGCGCGAGTTTCCCAGAGTCCTCCGCGTCCGGCACGGCGGCCATTCGCGCACCGGAAAACCACACCTCCCAGGAGCCTCTGCGGGGGCGACGCGCCCAGCGGCTCAGCCGGGTATCATAGCACGCAGTTGGCTTGCTGTGAGGACAGTGGCGCTCCGATCACGAAACTACATTTCCCAGAAAGTCGGGCGGCTGCGACAAGGTCTTCGGGCTCATCCGTGCGCTCACAAGTACATTTTTCACTAGGGTAGGTGCAGGCGTCCCTGACTCCTCTCGTTCACAGCCCGGCAGCCACGCTGTCCGGGTCAGGAGGTCGTATTTAGCGCCCACCTTCCGGGACTCCAGTTCCCAGAATGCACTGCAGCCTGTCCAGCTTTGCCCCGCCCACCAGGGCCGTTTCCCGGAAGTCCGTGCGGACGCGTCAACTCCACAGTGCTAGTAACGGTCCTTCGAGGGTCCGTACATGCCCCGGAAGGATTTGAAACACTGAACTCCAGTGAGCGCTCCCAAGGCAGGGGCCCTCACCCCGGGGGAGAATCCCGCTCCCACGACCCAGCCCGGCGTCCAAAGGGCGATGGACGTCAGTGTCCAGATGCCAGAGCATACTACTGTTGCTGTATGAGTCGGTTGTCTGCTTTCTTTTTAAATTTAAATTATTTACTGTTTGCAATTAAACACCATGTGTCTGAATGTTCTTGTCAGAAACCAGGTGGGATATTCGTTAGGCAATGCGTCTCCACTGATAGGCCGGGGGCTATGGCGTGTAAGCCCTGTAGCAGCCGTAGCTTTGAAGGCATGACATCAGCTGCAATGGCTGACGCACAGTGTGTCCCCTCCTATGACCTTATTGCACGATGACACTGTTTCCCAGAATTACCAACCTACGCTCCTACTCGAGTCATTGCTTTGGTTGCTATTAGTGCCCCATTTGTGAAACAGATTTTTCCAGTGTTCCGTGTGAAACTAAGTTGTGTCTTAAGTTATCCTTTTTTTTTTTTTTTGGTTAAGTATTTATTTTCAGATATGCACATTTTTAAAAAGAAATACTGTATTTATTGATAGGCAACAAAAATGTCAATCTATGGAATCTGCAAGGAAAACTACATAAATAAGCCATAAAGTACACAGGATAAAGATGGCTATTTTTTTTAAACTGTTTTTCCATGTATTATCAAGTTGAAAATTTTAAAATAGTGTTCTTTACAAGAGCTTACAACACATCTCTTACATGAAGATAAATAAGATTGCAAGATATGTACAACTAAAACTATAGAAGATTGTTCAGAAAAACTAAAGATTTAATAAAAGGAGAGGTATACCATGTTTATGGATTGGAACACTCCACATTGTTACTGTGTTAATTCTCTTCAAATTGATTTATAAAGTGGTCTTCAAATAGTTCATGAAAAGCACACATGAAAAACTATGCATGGATTTCAATTTTTTTGTCACCAAAATAAACTCCAGCTAACTTGTTATAACATGTCAACACAGGGTCTGGTTTTGAGGCATTAAGAAAGATGACATCAGCATAAAAACAGCCTCATTAGAGCAACATGAATTCTGCTAAAACTGAAACAAGAATAGACATCAAATCTATGGTGAAGACTGGGTAGGAGAGTGAAAAATGTATGTAGACTGCCCCAAAGAAATGAGATAGAGCAGATTACACATCTCAGCAAAGGACAAGAATGTTGGCAGACCGTCTACATCAATTTGGGAGGAAACATCTCTTCCGTGCCCTAACTGAAGAAGACCAACGACTAACAGCAGAAACAAACTGCCAGCACCAAATACCTCTATAGGCTCATCTTACGCAATTCCGACTGAAAAGGTTGGGCACACTTTCTGCTTGATGGGTGCCAAAGCTGCAGACAAGAACAGCGCTTTTAATGGAAATTTTATACAAGTGGGATCAAGATCTAAAGCGTTTTTTCAAATTATATAACGAGAGATGAATCATGGCTTTACAAATATAATCCTGAACACACAGCACAAAGCAGTAGCTACTAAGAGTTGGAACTAATCCAGTCAAAACAAAAGTGAACCAGCCAAGACAAACTGTCAAGGCAACAGTTTGGGGGTGGGGGAGGGGTATTAAAGCATTTTTCTTGTTGGCGCTCTGGAAGGCCAAGGACCAATAACATCTGCTTACCGTGAATGTATTCTGAGACTGTCAAAGCTTTGGCAGAAAAATGCCTGGGAAAACTTCTCCAGAGTCCTTCTCCCCCACAACAATGCTCCTACTCATGCCTCTCATAAACCAAGAGCAATCTGGTGAGAGTTTTTCAATGTTTATTTTCATCTACTTGAAAAGCAGAGTAGTAGAGACAGAGAATTTCTTCCATATTCTGGTTCACTCCATATTCTGGTTCACTCCCCAAATGCCTGCAACAGCCACGGCTGAGCCAGTCATGAGCCCAGAACTCCATACAGGTCTCCCCTGTGTGTGGCAGGAGTCCAAGCACTCGGACCATTAACTGCTGTCTGCCAGGATGTTTCAGAATTAAAGCTGGGGGCCAGCACTGTGGCATAGTAAGTAAAGCCATATGGGTGCCAGTTCAAGTCCTGGCTGCTCCACTTCCGATCCAGCTCTCTGCTATGGCCTGGGAAAGCAGTAGAAGATGGCCCAAGTCCTTGGGACCCTGCACCCGTGCGGGAGACCCAGAAGAAGCTCCTGGCTCCTGGCTTCAGATTGGCACAGCTCCAGCCATTGTGGCCATTTGGGGAGTGAACCAATGGATGGAAGACTTTCTTTTTCTTTCTCTCTCTCTCCTTGTCTCTCTCTCTCCCTCTGACTCTCTGTAACTCTGCCTTTCAAATAAATAAATCTTTAAAAAAAAAATAAAGCTGGATTAGAAGCAGAGTAGCCAGGACTCAAACCAACAATCTGGTAAGGGATACAGGTGTCCCAAGCAGCAGCTTAGCCCACTGACCACAGCACCCACCCTTGCTGAGAGTTGTGACAGGAAATCATGAAGCGTCACTTTATAGTCCTGATCTTGTTCCTCTTGACTTTTTGGTTCCTAATCCTCAAATATCTTGACAGGGCACCCACTTGTCTTAATAGTGTAAAACAAAACAAGACTACAGGACATGACTGGATTCCCAGGACGGTTTTTGTTTTTTTGTTTGTTTGTTTTTTGCAGGGAGGATAGATTAAATGGCTTGTAGCATCACTTACAACAGTATCTTGACCTTGATGGAGCTCATGTTGAGAAATAAGGCGTACATTTTTATCTTTCAATTATACTCTTTCACGAACTTGCTGAAGTCCCTTCATATATATTCCATGCACTCCCGATCCAAATCACACAACACTTTTGAGGAATATGACAAGAGAGTTCTAAAATCCATATGGAAATGATAAGGACAAGAAATTCTTCCTAAGGTACAGATTTAAAATACTACATTACTTGATTTGAAGATACATTATACAGTTACGATATGTAAGACTTTAAGATAATCAGCAAAAATACACAGGAAAAATATCTATAAACAGACCAACATATACAAGATCAAATGAATTTCAACTAAGGTGCAACAGCAACTCAGTAAATAGTACTGGCAACAGGGGGCAATTGAGTGTCCACATTTAAAATAAAATAAAAAAAACTCTAGCCTCAAACCTCATACAGTATAAAAGAGTTAACTCAAAATGGATTATAAACCTAGGAGTATGAAACTTCTATTATGTAACAAAAGGGAAAATTTTAGCTTGATAAATGCTTCCTACACACACAAAAACAGTGCTTAATTAAAAGGGAGGAAAATCCACATATTCAACTTCATCAACAGTAATCACCTCTGCCATAGGAAACACTCTATCAAGAAATTTTTTAAAATGTCACACGATAGAGTATTGACAAATCACATATTTAATGAAGGACTTGTATCCAATATTTAGTAAGATCTCTCAAAATTCAATAAATATATTTAATGGACAAAAGATACATATTTAAAGATGTAGTGATGGCAGTAGCAAAACTAAAAATTCTCAAATTAGTCACTAGGAAATATATAAAATAAAATCACAGAGAAATTCCACTATCTAATGAGAATGGCAAACTCATTAGATCATGTTGGTGAGCCTCGCAAGCAACCAAAGTTCTAGTACACCGCTGGAAACTGTGGAAAACAGTCTGTCAGTTTCTAAAGAGACAAACATCCACACACCAGCTGACCCCGTGTGTTTATGTCTAAGTTCTGATGCTCTGACAGCTGAGCGAGCTGGCCAGACTGCCCCTTCCACATTATCCTTTCTTCAAGCTAACGCAGGGCTTGACTAGTAGCACAACTCTATGCAATCAGTAATCCCAAATCTCCTGCCCCAACTGCTTCTCTAACTCTCACACTAAGCCAACACACGCTCTGCTCTAAAGCATCCCAGGAGCAATTATCAGGTAACAAGAGCAATCCTCAGCCCAAAGTCCAGCTAACTTATTCAAACCAGCTCGCTACAAACTGCCCTTCCACGTCTTTCCTGTGGGATTCCCGCAGAAGCTGTGGCCTAAGCCTTCCCCTTGCTCACTTCTGCCTCCTGACCAACACGGGTGCTCTCTGTAGCCCTGTGTGACGTGATGTTCCCCCTTCTCTTAGGAACTATAGGTAATAAATTCTTTTCTTCAACCTTGGCCTATGTCATCACTTTGTCACAACTGAAATTAAAATCCCATGGTTAGAAATGAGACACTCAGGCCTTTGTCTCCCAGCTATTAACACACAAGACAAGTATGTGAATGTTCACAGCCACTTTATTTGTAATAATCCCAAACTGGGAGCAACTCATGTTCCTTACCAGATATGTAGAACAAATTGTGGGATAACCACACGAGTATACTAGTCTAGACTAAAACAATGAAGTAATCAGACATGGACCATGGAGGAATCCCAAAATAATTACACTGTGTAAAAAAAATAAAAACTTCTTTAGAACAATATTTTGGTATTCCATTCACATAAAATTCTAGAAAAGTTAAAAAGTCTGCAGTAGTCCCCTTGCATCACAGGGCGTATGTACCAAGTGGATGTCGACAGTACCAAACCATGTATATAAGCAAACTGGCCTTTCCTACATATACATACATATGACAAACTTTGACTTATAAATAAGGCATGGCAGATTAACAAACATAGCTAATAAAACAATTCTAACAATGTACCACAGGGACCAATACTGTGATGCAGCAGGTTAAGCCACCATTTACAACAAAAGGGTGCACCAGGTCGAGTCCCGACTACTCCACTGCCAATTCAGCTCCCTGCTAATGCTTCTGGGAAGGCAGTGGATGATGGCCCAAGCACTTGGGGCCTACCACCCATGTGGGAGACAAGGATGGAGTTCCAGGCTCCTGTCTTCAGCCTAGCCCAGATCTGGTTACTGTGCCCACTTGGTGAGTCGATCAATGGATGGAAGATCTATGTCATTCATTCTCACTCTCTCTCTCTAATAAATAAATAACCTTTTTATTTAAAAAAAAAACTAATAAAAGTAATTTAAAACCTGAATTATTTCTGAAATTTTTCATTTAGTATTTTTTGACTATGATTCACCACAGCAAAACTTTGGAGACTGTGGGGGTCCCACATCATGACAGGTTAAGCCACTGCCTGCAACACCAGCATCCCATGAGCACTGGGTTGAGCCCTGGCTGCTCCACTTCCAATCCAGCTTCCTGCTAATGCAATTGGGAAAGCAATGGAAGATGGCTCAAGTGCTTGGGCTCCTGCCACCCATGTGGGAGACCCGGATGGAATTCAGCCTGCCCAGCTGTTGCAGCCAATTGGGGAATAAACCACTGGATGGAGGGATCTCCCCCTCTCTCTCTCCCTCTCTCTGTAACTCTTTCAAATAAATAAATCTTTTTAAATAAAGAAAGAGACATACAGCAAGAGAAAAAGGAAAGGAAGAAAAAAAAAGAAACTGGATAAAGGGGGATTTCTGTAAAGGATGAGGCAAATTTGTGGTTGAGAAATCTGTTCATTATCATCACCGTGGTGAAGGTTGCATGGATACATAAAAATCATTCTTCACACTGAACATCAACTGCATCTACATAGAGCCTTCAAAAACTGGTTCAAGGGGGGCAGCACTGTGGTGTAGCGAGTGAAGCTACCGCCTGCAGTGCTGGCTTCCCATACGGGTGCCAGTTTGAGTCCCGGCTGCTCCATTTCCAATTCAGCTCTCTGCTATGACCTGGGAAAAAGCAGTGGAAGATGGCCCAAGTTCTTGGGTCCTTGCACCCATGTGGGAGACTCGGAAGAGTCTCCTGGCTTCAGATCAGCCCAGCTTTGGCCATTGTGGCAATTTGGGGAGTGAACCAGCAGATGGAAGATCTCTCTCTCTCTCTCTCTCTCTCTCTCTCTCTGCCTCTCTGTAACTCTCTGCCTTTCGAATAAATAAATCTTTAAAAAAAAAAAAAAAAAAAAAACAACTGGTTCAGGGCAGGCATTTTGCCTAGTGGTTAAGATGCATGTCCCATATCTGAATACCTGGGTGACTCCCTGGCTCCAGCTCCTGATTCCAGCTTCCTGCCAATGCAGACCCTGGGAGGCCGTACTGATGGCTCAAATAGTTGTGTTCCTGCCACCTACCTAGGAGACGTGGTTGAGATCTTAACTCCCAGCTTTGCCCCTGGGCCACTGCAAACATTTGGGTAGTGAACAAACAGATGGGGGCTCTTTCTCTAATAAATAAATAAAACAAATTTTTTAACAGTTCAACATGGAAATCTGGATCCTTCACTTCTCTTGAAAAATGAGATGATTTGGGAAACACATCTTAAATATGTTCTTTGGGGGTCCGGTGCTGTGGCGCAGGTTAATGCCCAGGCCTGAAGTGCTGACATCCCATATGGGCGCTGGTTCAAGTCCTGGCTGCTCCACTTCCAATCCAGCTCTCTGCTCTGGCCTGGGAAGGCAGTAGAAGATGGCCCAAGTCCTTGGGCCCCTGCACCCACATGGGAGACCCGGAAGAAGCTCCTGGCTCCTGGCTTTGGATCGGCTCAGCTCTGGCCATTGTGGCCAACTGGGGAATGAACCATTGGATAGAGGACCTCTTTCTCTCTCTGCCTCTCTGCTTCTCCTTTTTCTGTGTAACTCTTTCAAATAAATAAATAAATCTTTAAAAAAAAAATATGTTCTTCCTTTGGAAGGGACAGCCCTACACCAATGGAAGCAAAGCCTAGCAAGCAATAGATGCTAAATAAGTCACATGCCTAGACAACCAGCGCTTTTCTTGGTTTCTTTTTCTTGCCTGTATAGCAATGACCTTGAAGTAAGCAACCCAAACAGTCTTGACAATTCAGAAAACATTCAGATTATTTGCCCTACCAGTGATCTGAGCCACAGGAGGCGTTAAATCTGGAAGTTCTGAGAATACCTGAATACCCGAATCCCTCACAGCTATAGTGACCAGAATATTTCTCTAAGCACCACTGGATAAGGCACATGCCTTCTGGTTTGCTGGCTCCAATTCTATTAACCCCATCAGTGTGTTAAGCTGATCAGGGTAAACTGCGATGGCCTCACGCCACTTGTGGTTTCCTACAGGGGACACAGTACAAAGACTGGCCGTCCCTCCGCTCACAGGGCCACCGGATGGTACATAGGAGATGGATTCTGCCATTGGCACCGGCAGGGAGAGCACTCAGGGAAGGGCCTCGTGCAGGTCAGACAGGGTAACGCACCTCCGGAAGCCTCCCCACACACTGTGGCTTGCACGTCAGGTGTGAGGTGTAGCCTTTGGCTGACGGCCACTTCACAACTCTATTCTCAGAGCTTTTCTGCCGTCATGCATTGACCAAGCAGATAACACTCTTGTATTCCACGGCCTTTCTTCAGGGCGAACCCTCTGGTACCAAGCGAGGGAAGGCCACTGGCTCAACACTCTCCGACATGATTTTGCCGATGTTGAATGAGGCTGGATTTGTGGCTAAAGCACTTCCTACGTTCACTACGCTCATACGGTCTTTCTTCAGCGTGGGTTCTCTGGTGTCGAAGAAGTGTAAATTTCAGACTGAAGGCTTTCCCGCATTCACTGCACGCATAAGGCCTCTCCCCAGTGTGCACTCTCTGGTGCAAATTGAGGCTAGACCTGTGGCTAAACCATTTACCACATTCGGCGCATTCATAAGGTTTCTCACCAGTGTGAACTCTCTGGTGTGAGACAAGCCCAGAGCTTTGGCTAAAGAACTTGCCACATTCAGTACACTTGTAAGGCCTTTCTCCGGTATGGATTCTCCGGTGCCGAACAAGCGTGATTTTGCGGCTGAAGAATTTTCCACACTCGCTGCATTCGTAAGGTTTGGCCCCTGTGTGAATTCTCTGGTGTCCAATAAGGCCAGACCGTTGTCTAAAGGATTTCCCACATTCTGTGCACTTATACGGCCTTTCTCCAGTGTGGATTCTCTGATGGCGAACCAGGGTGGTTTTACAGCCAAAGAAGTTCCCACACTCTACACAATTATAAGGCTTTGCCCCCGTGTGAACTCTCTGATGTTGAACAAGGCCATAGCTTTGTCTAAAGGACTTCCCACATTGCGTGCATTCGTAACTCCTGTCTCTGGCGTGGATTTTCTGGTGTTGAACGAGTCTGCATTTCCGTCTGAAAGCTTTGCCACATTCGCGGCACGCATGAGTCTTCTCTCCAGCGTGAACCCTCTGGTGCTGGCCGAGGCGGTGCTGCTGGCTGAAGGCCTTCCCGCATTCACGGCACCGGTATCGCCCGTCGCCAGTGGGAACGACCTCGCTGCACCCTGCACTTCTGGGCGGACGCCCCCGGAGGTCAGCGGTCTGGTTGTGCAGAGGGCCTGGGTGGGGCAGGAGATCCTCCCCATCGTCCCTGCACAGAAAGGGCTCCTCTGACAGGTGGCCTCTGCAGCCCGTAAGCGGTGACGCCCCGTCCTCCTCCCCGCTGGGGAGCCCCTCTCCGTCCTGATGCTGAGCGATGCTTAGGCTGAAGCAGAACTGTCTTCCACACGCCCTGCATGCCTGAAGCTTCTGCCCAGAGCAAATCCCCTGGTGTTCGGCCAAGAGCAAAACGTCCTTCATGACTGGGCCACACATCCCACATGGCTCGGCACTCTGCGTGGCCGAACCTGACCTGGGAGTCCTGATCCGCGGCACTGCTTGCAAAGGCGCCTCGGCATTCTCCATCTGAAACCAACAGCCTGAAAGCAGAGAAACACTGCTGTACACGCAGATGCGGGAAAAGACGCCTGCTCTGTAACTCCAGGATCGAACACACGGGGCTCCTGGGAGGATGAGGTGGCCACAGCTGGGCTGAGGCGGGCTCCATACCGAGCCCGGCAGCACTGCACCACTGGGGGCTCTGGGGAGGAACAAGAATACAGTACAGCAAAGGGCGCGCTGTGAGCCTGACTCGCTGATCTGCCGACGGCTTTCAGCAGGGGCTTCTCGGCAGCTGACCTGGGAGCCCTGAACGGAAGGCTGTGCCCAGATCTGGGAAAACCAACCGTATCCGAGAAGCTGCCGAAGCACGACGCAGGCCCGGAGCACGTCTCACAGCACGGTATGTGCAGCTCCTTGTTGGAGAGCACGACAGGTGGGCAGGAACGGGGCAGACTTTCAGGCAACAGGGGTGTGCTTAGCTCTGGTCAGAAATCAAACAGGAGGGGTAAGTGGAGAAAATGCCAAGAAAAGGAGAGACTGAAATGAGTTATGGACCTGTCTTGGCAGACGTGCTGGGTGCCAGGAGAACCTAGCCCTGACACTGAACTATTCCTGCCTTGTCGCTTACCAGGGCCAGGTCCCCTCCAAGTCCCTAGTGCCGCAGCTGGCCCAACGCCTGCCCTGCCAGGCGCCCAGGTGCCTTCCCCCGCCTCCAGCCGGACAACTACACGGATCTGGGAAGAAGCAAATCCTAAGAGAAAGACAAAGCAGCTAAGTGGATGGACACCAACAGCCAGAGCACCCAGCCCACCGGGAGTGACAACCAGTATTACAAGAAGAACCTTGGAGAAACGTCCTCTAGGATCGGCCCACTGCCCCCAAAACCGGTTCTCCAGCTGACGCCTGTGATTCCTGACATGGGGCAAGAGGCAGCGTCAGCTGGAGGAAGGAGGGTGCAGCAAAGGGCAGAGAGGGGCGGCAATCCCGGACGGTCCCCCGACAAGGTGAAGCCACGTCAAGTGGAAGCCACGGGCCCCCATATCCTTCCCTAGAAGGCCTGAGGGCACCAGACGCTGGGGCTCCGTGGGAGAGGGTGAGGAATGCCTGAAGCCTAGGAAGAAGACCCAGGAAGGAGGCAAGGTCCACTGGCGGCTGTGGGAAGGGAAGAGAGAGCCCTGGAGAGAGGAGGAGGGGCCAGCCCAGCCCGGACGCTGCGAGGGTGAGGGACTTACCCAGCGAGGCCACCAGGGTGAAGTTGTCCAGCATCACATCCCGGTACAGGAGTCTCTGAGGCTCGCCAAGGAGCTGCCACTCCTCCCAGGTGAAGTCCACAGCCACATCCTCCAAGGTCACCCTGCCCTACCATGACGGGCACAGCAGTGTCTCTAAGCAGCCCCTCTCCCAGGGCCCTCTCTATCCCTGGCTCCCTAAACCCAGTCCCTCCCACCCTCCTCTCAGGAAGGCTCACAGGGGGCGGAGGCCGGATAGCACCACAGTCCCCTCGCTGTGTCCCCCACATCAACTGCAGACATGTGGGCAGGTAAATGCTGAGCCCTGGGACTGACGAATTCCCCTGGGCATGCCTTGCAGTTCATGCCTCCCGTACCAGCGAACACGGGCCCAGCGTCCTCCCTCACCTCCTAGGGCCCACCCCTGGGAGCCTCAGTTCACGCTCTCCCTTGGCCACATCCCTCTGGGCACCATCAATCACGCACATTTGGATTCTCACTGCCACTGTCCATGCCCTGCGTATACCATGGGCATCTCCCTGAGCTCCGGGGAGAACCCTGAAAACACTGGGAAATGTAAGGGTGATCCCATCCTGAGTCCCACATCTGACAGCCCACAGGGCCAGGGCAGGCCTCTCGCCCTGCTGTCCAGACCTCTCCACCTCGTCCTGGCCCCTGCTTCAACCTCACATGCAGGTGGCAATACCTTAAGCCCTCTTCTACTGCTGTGCCTCCCCTATCGCAGCCGTCCTCTTCCCATCAAAGCCTTGTTCAGTGCCCAGCTCCCCTGGCCGCCCAGCCGTCACCGACTCTCCCACTGGCCCCTGAGCTTATTCGTAAGCCTAAGCAAATTCTCCAACCCCACCAATGGTCACCATTGGACTGGTGAGCCTTGACAAGGGGGAGTAAGTGCAGGCTTTGGGCAGTCATGTCACCTCCATCACTGCTGTCCTCCCATGGTCACGCCCCTGGGAAGCTCTGGCCATCTGCCATACCCACCTCAAACCCCACAGCCACCTCTCTGGCGTTACCTCTCTGTGACATTCACCAACCCTAGGCAGGTACCTGAAGATGTCGCCTCCTAAATGGGACTCACAGCTCTGCCCCAGGCCACACACAGGTCACCAACTTGTGCTGTCCTCAGCATGAACCTCTTGCCTGAACTCCAGCTGTGTGTCCAGCTGTCCACTCACTCACTCCACTCAGGGTCTCTGGAACATCACAAACGGACCATAGCCCAACCTACCTCCTGATAATTCTTCTGAAACTCACGCCTACAACTGACTTCCCCTTCTCAGTTGATGGCATCTCCTTCCTGCTAGCTGCAAGGGTCAAAATTCCATCCATCTCTCGATCACAGAGTCTGATTGGATATATTTTAAAAGCAAATCCAGGAGCCAGCGCCGTGGCTCACTTGGCTAATCCTCCACCTGCAGTGCCTGCATCCCATATGGGTACCAGGTTCTAGTCCCAGTTGCCCCTCTTCCAGTCCAGCTCTCTGCTGTGGCCCGGGAGGGCAGTGGAGGATGGCCCTAGTCCTTGGGCCCCTGCTCCAGGCCTGACTCCCTCATCCTGGCTTGCAGGTCCTCTAAGACATACAGAGGCCTGTGACAGCCGCCTGCCAGCTCTGTCTCACCACTGTGCACTGGCACATGCTGACCCTCTGCCTACACACCTGCCACAGAACATTCTACAGGTGGCCAGAAACTGGCCTAGATGCCAGATCAGGTGTCTGATGACACATTACCCCAGGCCAAACTGAGTAATGTGGCAGACAAGCAGTAGCAGGATAAATCCAGGAGACCATATGGGTCATGGGGAGGTATGGAAGGGGGACACTATCCACTCACCTGTGCGTGGTTCGTGAACGCATCTGAAGCCATGGAAACCTGTGGGAAGAGTGAGACTGTGAGCGAAAGGCACCCATGCTGCGCCCCAAGGGATCGCCTGATCATGCCCTGCAAGGTGACCTTGGGCTAACTGACCAAATTTTGGGTTTCAGTCCTTGGTGCGACCTCTTACCTGCTATGTGACCCAGGACAAGGATTCAACTTTCCAGTGCCTATCTTCACTGAATGGACCTAAGAATGGCACCCACATCCTGGGGTTGGAACTGGTATCGAATGCATCAGTAATTACGCATCAAGCGCTAAGTAGGCTCTATCACTATCCACAAAATCAAGTCTTCTGTCAATGTTTTCAGTGTAAATCATGCGATGGGTCTTTGAAAGTATGAGGATGCAATACTGTGATGTTTAGTGTTTTCACGTACGGCTCTGGGAGTATATTATGGTGTTAACCACATTTGCATTGCATGCACAAATTTAACTTGCTAAATTCCCACAGTTCAGTGTTTACATGCACACTTTTAGAGGAATGTTGATCCCTTAATGTGGAAGCGAGTGGTTGTTCCATTTCTCCCTAAGTTAAACCGGGGTGTGGTGACTCCAAGGCGGGGGGTACCTTCTCTGTTCTCAAAGATCTGCGCACCACTGCATCGCCACTCCGGTCCGGCAACAATGTTCCCTGTCCCCCTGCGCCTCCTGTCTGCCCGTCTCTCCTCTCCTCATCAGTCACCCCTGCCTTCTACCCCCAGTCGGCCGGCTTCTTAGTAACCTTCGGGAACCTTTTAAAATCGTCCCGGGATCCAGTCTTTCTGATGACAACCGTCCGGGGCCACCAGTGCCCTCAGATTAGCTCATCTGCTCACGGGTCCCAACGCTTCCCAGTCGCATCCGCAGGCTCTGCACACCCTGGTCCCTCTGTAAGGGGCATCTCTCATCACTCCGCGTGTCAAAAACAGGGGACCTACCCGTACCGCCCCTGGACTGCCCCGAACAGAGAGCTGTGGCTGCAGTGCCCCGAGCAGGCGCCTTCACTCGGGGCTCCAGCGGGGGTGGCGAGATCGGACAGGTCAGCACCAGGGGACGCAGCACCAGCCTCAGCGGGCAAGCGCAGGCGACCCAGCCAAACCCCGACGCCAGCCTGCTCCGAGCGAGGAGTCGCCCCAGAGAGCGCCCTCCCGAGCCACAGACCCGCCCCCATGCACCGTGAGCGACGCCTCGGCTCACGCCTTCCCGCTCCCTTTACCTTGGGCCGGACCAAGAGCTCAGACCCTGTCCAGGTGGACCGACCCAAGAGTCACCAAAAGGACCGCCGCCGCAGGGGCGCCGGAAGTCCCGCCTGGACGTGCCCAAGCGTCCCTCTGCAAGGGCCCCCATTGGCTTAGCGCCGCAGGGGCTCTGCGCAAGGATTCTGGGTAATGTAGTTCTCCCGGGCCTCTGCGCTGGAGGGCGCGCGCGCTCCAGACTCTGGCACAGGTGGCAAGCGCGCTCCGAAGTTCTGAGACCCACGTGCTTCCCAAAGCGACAAAATCAAAAGACAAACTAAACCACGTCGGTCCGACACACACACACGTGAGCACTTATTATCTTAAGAGCTAATAAAGATCATAGTACTTTCCTTCATAGAAAATTTTTCAAGTCAATTCTGTAGGCTCGAGGCTGTCAGGGTGATGCCGAGAGAAAATAAAAAACTGCAGAGAGGCTCAGATGGGGAAGCTTGCAGGGTACCGCAGGTGGACAGGTGTGGAGTTCTCCTGCTAATTCGCACAAGCAGCAGCCCTACTGTGTAATCGGTGCTCATGCCCCAACCCTTCAACACCATTGTATCCCGGTAATATGTCTTGCTCCATATTCTGAGAGATATTCAAGTACTTTTAAGGAGTTCGACATCTATCTGGAAGAAGAGACTTTTACCAAGTGACATTTTCTGTGAAGACCGCATCACTGGTGAAGGAAATGTGGAAGGGGGCATCTTTTTTATTTTTTAAAGATGCATTTATTTGGGGCCGGCGCTGTGGTGTAGAAGGCTAAGCCTGCTACAGTGCTGGCATCTAATGTGGGTGTCGGTTGGAGTCCCAGGTGCTCCCTGTTAATAACCTGGGAAAGCAGTGGAGGAGGTTGTATTTGCCCTGACTGGACATGACACATGTACCCGTGTGTCAAAACAGCTCTTGGCATCCCATAAACATAGACGATTTTATGTGTCCAGCACTAAGTTGTCAAGTCTATGCACACAGGATACCTTTTCATTTATTGAGGTCTTGCATAATGTCTCTCAGCAATGCTTTGTGGTCTTCGATAGCTTGTCATTTTCAGTGTACAGTCTTGCTCTGTTGTGATTAAATTTATTCCTGTGTAAGTTCTTTTTTAATGCTGTTAGTTTTTTAAGATTTATTTATTTATTTGAAAGTCAGAATTACACAGAGGGAGAAGGAGAAGCAGAGAGAGAGAAAGAGAGAGAGCGAGCGAGCGAGCGGTCTTCAATCACCTGGTTCACTCCCCAGTTGGCTGCAACGACTGTAGCTGCACTGTTCCGAAGCCAGGAGCCAGGAACCAGGAGCCAGGAGCCAGGAGCCAGGAGCCGGAGCCAGGAGCCAGGAGCTTCTTCCGGGACTCCCACGTGGGTGCAGGGACCCAAGGACCTGGGCCATCTTCTACTGCTTTCCCAGGCCACAGCAGAGAGCTGGATTGGAAGTGGAGCAGCTGGGACTTGAACCGGTGCCCATATGGGATGCTGGCACTGCAGGCGGTGGTGGCCTTACCCTACGCCACAGTGCCGGCCTCTTTATGTTGTTATAAATGAAATTGTCTTCTCAATACCATTTTTGTAGTGTTCATGGCTATTGTGTATTTAAAACAACAGTTTTTGTGTGTTGGTCTTGGATTATTTAACTTTGCTCAATTTACTAGGGTTTTTTTTTTTTTTTTTTTTTGACAGGCAGAGTTAGACAGTGAGAGAGACAAAGGTCTTCCTTTTTCCATTGGTTCACCCCCCAAGTGGCCGCTACGGCCAGCGTGCTGCGGCTGGCACACTGCACCGATCCGAAGTACCGAAGGTACTTCCTCCTGGTCTCCCATGCGGGTGCAGGGCCCAAGCACTTGGGCCATCCTCCATTGCATTCCCGGGCCCCAGCAGAGAGCTGGACTGGAAGAGGAGCAACCGGGACAGAATCCGGCACCCCGACTGGGACTAGAACCCTGGGGTGCCGGCGCCACAGGCAGAGGATTAGCCTAGTGAGCTGCGGCGCTGGCCAATTTACTAGGTTTTGCAGATGCTTTGAGGATACAGCGTCCTGTCATTCCTAAGTATAATTTTTCTTTTTCTTCCCCTGATACCTTTCATTTCTATTTCTTGCCTATTTGCTCTGGACATCCAGGACGATACCGAATAGTGGTGGCAAAAGCAGCCATCATTGTCCCTTATTGACTGCGGGGCCAAGCTCTGTCCTTCAGTGTTGCATCCAATGGGTTTTACACCAATGTCCTCTGCTAGGTTGAAAAAGTTCCCTTCTATTCCTTTTTTAAAAGGAT